CGTGAGGCACCAGGGAAGTGAGGTGCCCCCACTTGCTTTCTGGATCCTGCAGCTGCCCCTCCATTTACGCATTGATCTAATACTTAGCCAGTGCTTATATATGTTATAAGGAGCCTGAGTGACAGAGTGGGCTAAGAGCTGATCAGTCAACCACAGAGTCAACCTGTTCAAACCCACCTGCTGCCCTGTAGGAAAAAGATGAGGCTATTTTTCTCCCATGGAGATTTATTCTAAGGAGCATGTCCACGCTCTCCGATAGCTAGCCATGTGGAATGAACTTGATGGCAGCCTGCTGCACAAGAGCCTTTAGAGTGTTGAAAGGCAAGGGTGTTGCTTTGATGGCTAAGGAGCACCTGGCCCAAGCCATGGTATTTTCAACGGCCTCAGGTGCATGTGAACAAGGGAGAATGAAGAAGAACTGCCGCATTTGAACTGTGGTGTTGGCAAAGAATATTGCCAGTACCACAGACTTAGCCCTCAAAAGAAAATCAGATCTGTCTTAAAGAAGCACAGTCAGAATGCTCCTTAGAGACAGACTGGCTAGACTTTGTCTCACAGACTCCAGACCTGTCAAGAGAGACCAGTCCTTGAGAAGCACACCATGTTTGGTAGAGAGAAGGGTCAGCAAAGAAGAGGAAGGCTCTCAACCAGATGGATTGGCGCGGCCGCAGAACCATGGGCTCAGGTGTAGGAACAGTGGTGAGGGTGGTGCGGACCTGGCAGTGTTCACTCTGTACACAGGGACACTGTGACTTGGGGCCAGCTCAAGGTCACCTAACAACACCAGCAAGGCCTATGCTGAAAGCTGAAGCTCCCACCGTGAAAAAGGTGGAGAACTGTAACAGTTTGCAATCTAGAGGAAAATCATAGCTAATGAACTACTAAGTATGGGGGGAGGGGGAATAAAAGAGGAGGTGATACCAAGGGCTCAAGTAGAAAAAAATTGTTTTGGAAAAGTTGATGGCAACATATATACAAGCGCACTTAATACTATGGAATGA